ATAGAAGGAACTCTCAATCTTTTTGCCATTCAAATACACATGATGAGCACCAGAAGGAGCTCAGCTGAGAGAGCTTAAGAGTGAAGATCAAATACACATGATGGATGATGTGTCCATATTCAAGATTTTCTCCCAGGAGTCACCCAAATTAATGTGCGATTCCTGCCACTACATACAATTCCTTCCCTTTCCCTCTGACTCAGGAGAGCAAATCAGAATGCAAGAGTGCCATTATTATAGAGTCTTGAATTTTCTATGATGTTTCTTTAACTTTGTAATTTCATGATTGCCTGTAAAACTTTTTTTTTTTTGTAACTATACTTGAAAGCCGATCACTGCCCTATAGATCTCTAGAGGTGGCTATAACCAATTCCCAATCACTTTATGCTCTTAAGTGTTGCTAATTAAAACTACAGTATACTTATTTTATTTTTTTAGCACTTTAGAGAAATTTTTAATAAGTTTAATTAAGCATTCTTGATTAATTTAACTTCTTTTTACTTTGTATTTATACTCTAAGGTAATTTCATACATGTCGTACATACACAAGTTGATAACAAAACATTCTATACAGATTTTTCACCAGCTCCGAACCAGGGAATTTTGACTGTTCGGATAGCCCAAGTTTATTGTTACAGCAATAACTAAAGGTTGTTTTTATTAAAGATTGACTTTTTTCTAACTCAATGACTTATCACGTTTCTAAGTTTTTCTTCTCATAGTTCCATATCTTTCTCAGTTTCACCACCTACTCTCTATCCCTTGAAAGTATATTTAAGTACTTGAAACTGTTTATCTTCCAGAAAACAGAATTAATTCTGGTGCCTTCATCAATGAATTGATATAAGCATAACTGCCTTGCACATAGTATATACTCAATAAATTGTCGCTATTATTACTATTGCTTAATAGCATTTTCCCTTAATATTACTCCTGCAAATGTTCAATATTCTTTTATATTTTAATCTTTAAAGAGACTGCTTTTGTTAGTTCTCTATTGCTGTTATAATAAGTTACTACAAATTTAGTGGCTTAAAACAATATAAATTTATTATCTTCTGGAGGTCAGATGTCCAAAATTGGTTTTATTGCACTACTATCAGTGTGTTGGCAGGGTTGCATTCCTATCTGGAGGTCCTAGGGAGGAATCTATTTCCTTACTTTGCCTGGCTTCTAGAGACCACTACATTTTTTTTTCTTTCTTTTCTAATAACTGGGGTTTGTAGCTCTTAATCCCTTTCACCTTTTTTACCCATCCCCTCAGCCCCCTTCCCTCTGGCAATGATCAGTTTGTTCTCTGTTTCTATGAGTCTGTTTTCATTTTATTTTGTTTGTTCTTTCTTTTGTTTTTAGATTCTACATATAAGTGAAATCATGAGGTATTTGTCTTTCTCCGTTTGACTTATTTCACTCAGCATAATACCTCCTAGGTCCATCCAAACTATTGCAAATAGCAATATTTCATTCTTATTTATGGCTGAGTAATAGTCCATTGCATATATGTACCACAACTTCTTTATCATCATTCTATCGATGAACACCTAGGTTGCTTCCATATCTTGACTATTATAAATAACATAGGGGTGCACGTATCTTTCTGAGTTAATGTTTTCTTTTTTTTTTTTTTTTTGGCTAAATAATACCCCAAAGTGGAATTACTGGGTCATATGGTAGTTCTATTTTTAATTTTTTGGAGGAAACTCCATACTCTCTTCCATACTGGCTGCATCAACTTACAATCATACACACACATGCACAGACACACAAAGCTACAGTATACTTCTTTTAAACTATCCTGTTGTTCCATTTTGAGTAGGTGGCATCTAACAGCAAGCCACATGTGCAATAGACACAAACATGAGTGTCCGTGGACCTGGATGCTACATGCATTAAGAATAGCTCCAAGTGATAACTGACAAAGATAAGATGGAAGATCTGGAAAAGCTCGTTGAAAAGAAGGCTCATTTTGCATATTCTCAACAACTATGGAACAAAGAGCCAAATGCACCAGCTTCTTTCCTCCAGCAGAGGCAGGAATCCAGATCAGCAACCTCTGTTCGGGCATCACACAAATATTAACATGGCCATATTAGCTGTAACCTTGCAAAAAGTACTAAGTCTAGCACTGATTTCTCACAGAGCTGACAAGAGTCATGAAGAGACACTCATGTTTCCAGGAATGTACACTTTTACATTATTTTGTTTTCTCCTACAAATTGCTTGAGAACTAGGAGACGTCCCAGCATCTTTCTCTCCTAGAGTTCCAAATTTGTGTTCATTATTCACCAGCCTAGTACCTCAACTAGACTGAGGCACACACAATTGCAAAAGATGTAGAAAAGAAAAATAATAGTTTCTACATAGACTTCCTCATCTTGGGTAGATTTATGAATTTCACTTCTGTTATGCAGAAGATAGCATTTTTAACAACGAGGGGGGAAATCCTTAATTGTTTTTTTATTGCCTCAAGAGCTCCAAAGACATCTTGTGCTATGTCATCATTTACATTTCACATTAAATGCAAAATGTTTGAAATGAGCAAATATTTGTTTTAATTTGCTACATCTGTTAACTGAAATGCTAAAAAGACAGCTAACTCACTATATTAAATTCAGCAATTTGTAAACAATTTATATATTCATTTGTTCTGGGTTAAAAATGCCCCAAAGCTTAAATTTTATGAAACCCACAAAGTAAATTGCATTGTATTAATCTGATGGATGCAGGCCATGATTTCTTCTTCTTCACTCCATTAATTTATTTCCTAACTTGAGTTAATTAGTGAGGTTCCTATTTTTAAAAGCTCTTTGAATTCATTGAGAGGGGCACATTTGCAAGAACTGCTTTGAAAACCTACTGCAGAGGAAATGGGCTAAATACAAAGGGTAAAATTTCCCCAAGATATTATTGCACATTGAGTACCTGATTGCCATTCAACAATCTTTAAGCGGAGAACACAGTGGGTGATGAATACATAGTTGTTATAAGAGGAAGAGAACCAGAAGTAAGGAATGAGAGCAGCAGCGAGAACTAACTCATTCCAGGTGATTACTAACTGCATGAGCTATCTCCAAGGTCCTATTCATCTCTGAATGAAAATCTGTGTCATTCTGATTTTATGCTTCAAAATGAAGACTGACTTTAACGTGGAACAATACCCCCTGAGAGGAGAAAAGACATCTATGCAGAGAAACACAAAAAATCAGAGATCGGTCCAATACACAACAAAGAGAGATCAATAATCAATTATTTTTCCTTGGTGAAATGCAGCCTTGATGTTCCTAAATTAGAGTAGGAGACAGTGCCCTGAACTCAACAAAAAAGAAAAAAAGGAAAAGGAAAGTAAATTCATTCACACTAAAAATATAAATTACTACTAAAAGTTTAAGATATGCCTAAGGGTGTTTGGGGAAGGGAGAACTAGGCTTTCAACAGATGTTCAAGTTTTAAGCAAATACAATGTTCATTCCTTTCTGGAATATTTTGGGCAGCAGCCAGTGGGTAAGAGAGATTAAGCTCAGTTGGGTGCCCTTCTCAAGCCCCCAGACAAAACTACCTGCTTACTCCAACTTCCAGAAAGGCTGGCCCTAAGAGGCAGTGATAAACACCACCAGCCTAATCTAGATAGTACCTTCCTTGTCAAAGTTCTACTTTATTTCATTTTCCCTTCACCAGGAGACTGTGAAAACCACAAGCAGCCAGTCATTTTCCTGTCCTGAGAAGCAAAGTGAGAATCTGGGAGCTGCATGTATGTGAGTTTGAACTAGATCTTCTCTAAGCCTCAAATTCCTCCTCTATGGAATGGAAATATAAATCACCTAGGACAGCCCCTGATGCAGAGTAGGCATCCAAAAAGTGCAAGCTCCCTCCTTTCATTTCCCACACAGAGTGAAGTCAAGTCGGCTGTAGGAATCATACCAGAAGTCAGGAAGGTCTGGGACAAGACCGGGTTCTTTCCATCACTCCTCAATTGCCTTCAATTTTTCCTTCCTGTCTAACTCCTGGTCCCGGAACCTGTTACTCAGGTTTCCCACACCAAAACAAACAGTACCATGATTTATTCCTTCCCCTGAAGCCACACTGAAAAGGGGCAGGGGCAGAAGGGAAGCACTGGTTATATCCCTCCCCCTCCACTCACACTCTCAGGCTGCAGCCACCAGGCCCCTCCTTTGAAGGCTTGGGGGTCTGCAGATAGATGGTGGGCTCCTTCTCTCCCGATTGAAGGAACTGACTTTAAGTATTTGTGTCGCAGCAAAAGTTTGGAAAATGAAGCGCTTTCTTTGCATGGGAATTGAGTATTTTAGATGATCTATCAAGTCCCAAAAATCTGCAGAGCCAGATTTTCTGAATCAGACAAACAAGCAGGTGGACCTGCCATGTTTCTCTGCTCAGATAAAGAATAGACTCACTACAGCAGACATTCAAGCCCCTCCATGGGGAGTGCTTGACTGAGAGCTCCAGTTTCTTAAGACTGGGTAGGAGATCACCCTGGGGAAATAACATAGCAGCCTGGAGAGTTTTGTGTTCCTGACAGCCATGCTTCTCCAAAGGAGAAGAAAAATGGGAACAAAATCTAATTGTCTGAGAAGGGTTCTCCAGGGTAAAAATGAGCTAGATAACAATGTTCTCTTTTAACTCTGAAGTACTTGGTCTTTCTCAAAGGACTTTTACCTCTTCCTCATTACCTAATTTGACCCCCCACGTTTCCCAGTATTATTATCCCCATTTTACCCAAGATATTTTGTGACTTGCCAGAGGTTCCAGAGGTGCTCTTCTGGAACATACCCCGACTTTCTGACTCCTGGTCTAGTGTGTTTTTTTTTCACTATAACCTTAATCCCTCAAACAGAGAAGAAACAACCAGAGGCTCGGATCAATACCTTTTCAGCTTCAAGAACTTAAGCATACATTTTTAAGGCAAGACATCGGTGAAGAGGGCCACAGGGAGTCATGGAGGGGGGTTAGGGACTTTCTCAGGCTGCCCTCCACCCAGAACTCACTCAGGAAGAGGATAGTCTGCCTCCTGGCCGCCCTGCTCTCCTGGCTCTCCGATTTCCTCAGCTGCTCCTGCTGCCCTTGCCCGGCCAGCGAGGCCTCTTTGCTCTTCCTGAGCACCTGCATCATATTCCAGCACATGAAGGCTACGGCGACCAGAACCACGAGGTACACCACGAAGGCGCCGAAGATGCTGGTCTGGAACACGGTCCAGCGGCTCGAGAGACTGGTACAGATGGACATATTGGAGGTCTCGGGTTGCTCCTGGTGGCGGGTGAGCGTGCGGTTGCAAGAGAGACCCCGGTGGCTGCGCACGTGCACCAGGGGGTACTCAACTCCCATGGCAAAAAGGAAAGGCAATGCCACCAGGGTAGAAGTGATCCAGACGAAGCCAATCAGCAGCTTCACCTGGCAGGGCCCGGACACAGCTTTATACCGGAAGGGGTGGCAGATAGCAATATAGCGCTCGAAACTGAGCGTCAGCACGTGCAGCAGCGTGGCATAGCTGCAGGTCTCGAAGAGAAAATTGTGAAGCTTACAGGACAGGGTGTAGCTGGGTGTCGTCACGGGGTTCCAGATGATGCTGTAGAACTCCACGGGCATGCCAATGAGGAAGACCAAGATGTCCGAGCAAGCCAGACTCACCATGTGATCCGTCACCTCCTTCTGCAAGTAGCCTTTCTTTTGCAGCACCTGGGTGACACGAATGGTGACACTGTTCCCCAGGATGCCCACCACGAAGATGATGAGGTTCACCAGGATGAGAGTGATTTTGATCCAGGTGGCTACCTCGAATTCGGGGATATGGCTATGATCAATAACATTGGCGCAGTCACTGCTGGAGCCTCTGGGTGAAGCCATCAGGAAGAAAGCCACGACACCTCAGCTTTGCTCCTCTAATAGTTCCTGGCTGCGACGGACGCAGAAGGGCTTTCACTCGGGCTCACCTGGAAAAGGCAACTTAGTTTTTCGGGTGCTTTCATAGAAACTTCCTGGAGCGGTCCAACCTCGCAGAGGCCCGGGAGGCGCTTGGAGGTGGAGTTTGGGGGCGTGTGTGTCAGAGCGAGGCGGGGAGAGCGCAGAGGAAGGAGGTTCTAATCTCCTGGCAGGGAATGCGCCCCGCAGGCCCCGTGTGCCGGCCGTTCTCCTACGTACCCCGGGAGCGCTCTGCCCTCTAGCACTGCGCGCCCCTCTCTGCTGCTTGGCACTTGCCGGTACCAGTCCACCCTCCAGGAGCACCCTCTTCGGCGGGTCAGCAATCAATCATTAACCACCGCTGACTGTGCCCAGCAGCCGGGCTGAGGACTCAGCCCAGCGGCGGGGTTTGACTTAGCTCACAGGTATGGTTCGGAAATCAGATCTTGGCTCGCGAGCACTGGGCAGCGTTGGCCCCACCTCCCCCGCCGCCCACGCGGTCACCTTGGTGGCCGCCCAGCCATCTGTAGCAGGTTACCCCAACGCGCGTACCCGGGGTAACAGTGCAGCCCGGGGGAAATCAGAGTGCGCCCCCGGGCTTGGAGTCCAGGATTGAGGCTGGGAAAGACAAACTTCCCCTCTCCTGCCCTGCCCCCTCTGCCACTTCGAAGGTTGGGCCACCGCCTGTTTAGGGGCGGCTGGACCCGGGAGCCCGCCTCCGTCGCGGGCTAGTTGGCCTAGCCGGCCTTGGGGCAGCAAGCGTTCGCTTCCTTGGTGCCCGGCCTCTGCCTTTAGGGTTCTGGTGTGTTCGTAGTGAATGGTTGGGCTGTGCGTTGCCTGAAGCAGCTGCCTTGGGAAGTCTGCCCGAAGCAAACTAATAAGGTCTCTCTAAAAGCCCTGAGTCTCCCCAAAGCCTCCCGGTGTTCCGCACAGGGCCCTGCCTCGCCTTGTTTTTTTTTAGAAGAGCCGGGATTCCTCCTTTCAGATTCACTCCACAGCTGGGGCCCCTCTCCCGCAGCAGCGTCGAGTTTTTAATTGGGGGCATGTATATGGATGAAGATGCCACCATCAGCCAGGATGCCGCTGGTTGGGAAGCCCGTCCTTTGGAAGGAGCTGCAGCCAAGACGTCAAGAATTGCAGAATTAGGCCTCTAGGCAGTCCAGACAGGGCCACAGAGTAAAAATGGCATTAAGGATCATGGCATTTGAGAGAGAGAGAGAGAGAGAGAGAGAGAGAAACAAACCTCTTTTGGGCCTCTATTGGGCCCATTTTCATTTTCTAATTCCAAAATCAGAGGGAATGGTGTAGGGAGAAGGAGGGAGGCTATCCTGTGCATTGCAGAATGTTTTACACCGACATCCTCCTGTTCCCTCGTAGTTATAAACAATATGTCTCTGGACATTGACAAATGTCTTCTGAGGGAGCAAAATGGGCCCAGGTGGAGAACTACTGCCTTGAAAGAAGAAAATAGATGCCCTTGATCTGTCCATCATGAGGGCCTCTCACTGGGCTTGTGCTAAAAATGTCCTCAAATTATCAAAACCAACACCCCTTCCCTGTGATGTGACCATTTAAAAGATGAAAATGCTTCGGAATCCAAAGGATAGGTGCTTCCCCAAGGCCATAACACAATGAGTAAGAGATTTGATCTGTCGAATCTTGAATCTCCGCTCCTAACAGGGAGGGAATTCTGGAAGCACAGTAGGTACTCAGGAAATGAATCCAGAATGATGCACAGAAGGATATAGGGACTGTCTTTTCTGAACCTGACTCTAGACACATGGTTTGAGGACCTCAGGAAATATTTAATTTTGACACTGTCTCAAGGGAAAAAAATTCTCCATTCGTTCTCTCTGTTAAATTACAAGCTCCAAGACCAAGAACTATATCTTCTTCCTCTCTGACACTTCTCCACAGCACCCTAATTGTATGTTTTGGCAGAGCCCTCCCCCACCTTCATGTGTGCTATTTGACCTACTTGCTAGCTGGGAAACTCTGAACTCATTTCCTTATTGGTGAAGTGTGCTTAGCTAAAGGACCTCAAGGGCAATATAGCTTGTCCCACGAGTTCATGGGGTAAGCATAGACTCTCAGGGCTTCATAACCACAGATTAGAATCCTGAATGGACTCCTCTGCAAAAGACCCAGGTTGTTTGCTCTCCCAAAGCTATTGAGAAGAAAGTGGTCTGGGAAGACACATACCCTAGCCCGCCTAGCAGCAATAGCAGCAGCAGCATACATAGACACACTGGTTGTTCCCTGCCCACTTCTTTTTTCTCCATAGAAATTAAGCAGGGATGCTCACAAGTATTCCTCAGGCACAGATACTTCCTTTGACATCCTTGGTCATTCTCTGCACCCCTTATTACATGCCGGGGAATTTCACATAATTTCTTTCAATCTTCACAAGGCTACAAAGTGAACATTATTACCCCCATTTTACAGATGAAAAAATTAAGATCAGGGGAATTAAGTGACGTACCATAAAGGGTCAGAGGCCAGGATTCAAACTCAGGTCTGCCTGGCACTAAGCACTTTCTACTCTGGGATGTTATCTCTCTGTGTGGGACAAGACTGTGCCAGGCTGAATAGTGGCATTTTAGGAAGAGGAATTTTTTTTTAAGTCAACCATCTTGATGCTTCTTCTTTCCCCAGCTGCAGCATGCCAGTTATCCCACAATATATTTGATAATTCGGATTTGTTCTGCTCAGACAAGATTTTCATTATTGTCCAATTTCTTTCATCAATTTTTTTTTCCCCAAAGTGTGAACGAAGATTACAAATGCATGCCCAAACAGTAAGAATCAAGCTAATTAAAATTCACTCCTTACAGTAGAGATGGAAAATGCATTTTGAACAAAGGTCCAGGAGAATTAAATTTTCATTTCACCTTTGCTTTTCCTAAGACCAATTAAAAACTGTTTAATGTCCTTTCATTTGTTGATAACAGACTGGTATAACACCTGGCCTGGGTCTGTGTCTGGATTTTTAAAATAGCATATTGTATAGAGAAAAGAAAGAAAAGGAATGGAAAGTGAGAGGACAGAATACTTTAGGTACCCTTTGATTTCAACTCTATTCAGGGGTCACTCTAGGGTCTACGCAAATTTATATTTGCATTTTACACATTCTATGTGACCTTTGAGGTCATTTAGGCTAGTGGCTTTCATACAGTTTTTAACACTAAATTTTTTCTTTAAAATAAAATCTTACACTGGCACCCAAAGTTAAAAAAAAAAAAAGAAAAAAGAAATTAAATACAAACACACACATACATATATATTATATTTTTGTAAATTTAAATTTATTTTGCATGCTCAAATTGTTAACATTTACTGATTTAAAGCAAATCAACAATTTATATTTTAAAAAGTGAATAATTTCTTGTTTATAAAGATTCATGGTAAGATCAGTGACTATGCATTGAGCTACAAAGAAAACTTCAGTCATTTTCGAAATAATAAACACTACGGATAGCTATTTATAATGCCATATAACTAAGTATTAATAACAGAAGCAGAAACTGAAACATAAGACTTCATCGTACCAATTTCTTTTTTAATCTCTGAAGTAATTCTTGGTCAGAGAAAACCTAAACCAAAACTGCAAAATATCTGGAGAATAATGACCACAAAAATCTGCATATAAGAATTCGTAGGAGATAGCTAAAGGATTCCTCGGAAAAAAGTTCATAGCCCTAAATATTTACTCTATTAAACGAGAAAGAATACAAAAAACTAAATGATAGAACTAATAAATAAACCCCCAAATTTGTTTTTCTCTTTTAGTAAGACTTCTGCTTCTGATCATCAAGAATAACTAGTAGCAGCCTGGCAGCCCCCTAACCCCATCCCTTGCAGCACAACTGTGCTCCCTCAGAGATGAGACACAGCATCACTCAGACTTGCTGCCTTTCGGCACTTTTCCAGACCATAGTGGGGAAAGGGGACTCCAAAAGGAGCACAGTGGTCTTGCTGAGTTAAGGAGATAGACTGGCACATAGGAGGTGAAGGCTACTGGGCTTTACAGAGCAGAGTGCTAGAAAGGGGGGAGCTATGGAAGAGTTCAGGAAAGCTGTAGAGAGGTTCTCTTGAGTCTTTGTCTAAATACTAAGTGGACACGTGGAGGTGAGACTCCAAGAGTTGGACGGGGTATACTACTGAGGAAAAAACAACTGCTAGAGGCTGTAAGCCAAACTAGACAGACCTGACAGATTGTTGAAGGCCTAACCAATGAGTGAGGGGATCTCACTAAACCAACCCCAAAAGAGCCAGACCTCAATAGTAGGACTAAACTAAACACAGAGCTAAGGCTGCTCTGGACCTGCCTTAACAAAGATATTGACCTGAGCCATCTAATATGGTAGCTGCTAGCCACGTGTGGATAGCTACACTTGAAATATGGTTAGTTCAAACTGAGACGTAAGTATAAAATACACGCCACATTTTAAAGACTTTGTATGAAAAAAAGAATGTAAATGTAATAATTTTTATTTATTGATATCATGTTGAAATGATCATATATGGCTATACTGGGTTAAATAAAATATATTATTAAAAATAATTTCATCTTTTCTTTTCTAAATGTGGCTCCTAGAATATTTTAAATTATATGTGGCTTGCCTTTGCGGCTTATATTATATTTCTATGGGACAATGATATGATAAACAAACAGATAATGAAACAAAAGAAAAAGTTCAAGAATAAGTCCAAATACTCATAGAGATTTCATTATGATAATGGCAATATTTCAAATCAGTAGAGAAGGATGGACTGTTTGATAATTGGTATTGGGACGATAGGTTAGCCATTAAAAAAGAAATTGGATACCTACCTCTACACTTTATTATAACATAAATTCCAGGTAGATCAAAGATGAAAATATTTGAATTTTAATCATTAAGGAAATTATTAAATGATAGAATAAGACACTGGAGAATATTAAAAATTAAATTGGATTTTTAATTTTATGACATAAATCTTAGAAGCCATCAAGGAAAAGTTTGTTAAACCTTTTATAAACATAAAAAAGTTCTGCGAGGCAAGAAACACTGTAGCTAATGGTAAATGAGGAACACAAAAAAAGTAATTGTTATCACAGTAATGAGTAATTTCCACAACAAACTCAAAGTGGATAAAATTTGCATTTATTCTCAAAATTGGTCTATAGAGTCACCATAATCCCCTCAATTAAAATTTCAACAGATTTTTCTGAGAAATGAAAATTTCTAAGAAAAAGGACAGGCAACCCAATTTAAAAAACGAGCCAAAGAGATAAACAAGCACTTCACAAACAAGGAATCCATATGGACAATAAACAATGAAAAGCTACCCAACCTTTTTAGTAGTCAGGCAAACGCAAACTAAAACTACAATTAAATACAACTACAACCTACCAGATTGGCTCACATTTA